CTGCTCCCCTCGGCTCTTCCCGCGGCGGGCTCCGGCCGGAGGCGCCAGAGGTGCAGCGGCGCCCCCCGCGCTGTGAGGGGACAGGGCCCCGGCCCGACCCGCCGTGAGGGGAAGATGGCTCCGGCGCGAGCCCTCCTGAGGGGAGTGAGCCCCGTCCGTGGCTCAAGGCAGTGTTTGGCCCTGGGCGGAGGAAGGTGACGGGTCTCCCCTGTTACCGGCCCCCGCAGGATGAACACTGATACTAAAATTATTAATCGTGAGGAGAGCAGCTCCCACTGCTCTCCGGAGAGGGCCGTAGTGGGTCCCCAGGGCAGCGTTACCCCCCGCCCCGACTGTGATAGCCCCTAAGGAGCGAAGTTCCTTGGAGATAGCTCATAGTAAAAGCTAACGAGGTTAGCTCATTGCAAAAAAAGGAGGATGAAGTCACTGGACATCCTGCAGGAATAACTCCTATGCCTGCTTCAGAAAGACTTACGCTGCGTCATTAGGTGGAAGGGGGAAGGCCCATCTCCAGATGGGCTCTGGACATCACCAGACACTGAACTTTCTGAAGCTGACGGAAGGGGAGTTCAGTCTACAGAAAGAGTACTGTGCTGTATTCCCCATAAACATCTCACTTACCCTAGTCTCAAGCTGCTTGTGGGTACAGCGTGGAGAAGAATTGGGCTTGGTCATTGAGGATATATGTTTTAGCTCTCAGGCTCCAGAAGAAACCTGTCTCCTCCTTCCTTCCCGCCAGTTTGCAAGGTGCCTGCCTGCAAATCTTCAGGAGACAGCAGAAGAGCTTAATCTAGAAGTCTAGAGGCAAAGACCTTTAATGCTCTAAATTACCCAGGGCTTGTTAAAACAGTAGGCGTAGAGCCTTTCTCAGCATCTGCTATTAGGGCCAGACTTTTACTAATGGACAGTACTAGATAGCACCAACATCTGAAGGGCAAATGCGTATATAGCCAAGTAAATAAGGAAACTAAGGCCTTAAACACAAACTCCATCAGAGAGGCATATTATGAGGTAATTTAACATCCTCTTAGGTGCTGTCCTTTCCCTGAATCGAGTTATCAACACATAAATTATTGTGTATAAATCTGATTATTTTGCTTTGCTGGCTACGTGTATCTGTAGGCTTTGCATGATATTCTACCTTAGCAAACTTTTCAAGTTGATTGTAGTAATGTTTTTCTTGTCAAAAATGGATTAGGAGTAGATTGGGAGTGCATTCTGAAGAACTACTTTTTTCTATTAGTAACCCTCAGAAATGTCCTGTATCTTTCTACCACAGCTCATCTAATCTAGGTCTATCAAAATTGATTCAAAGATGCTGCTGTGTAATGGCTGACTGTATTAGGTATTAATCTGAGTTGAATTTCCCCTGTGTGGATGGATTCCCTTAAAACCACCCCCAGTGTTTAGACCGATCAGTGTCTGCATATCCAGTATAGATGTCCAAAGGCTGCACATGGAATGGGAATTGCTTTCCAATCCAGAGATAACCTATTCAGAGGAGTTATTTACAGTCTTAGATAGTCAGACTTAAGAGCCAGTCATCTATGCTGTCTGACCAAAACTTAACTGCTGTGTTAATCTGAATGTAACTTTTCATTGTCCTTCATTTGCCCTAAGTGGATTTTGGTAGCTATTACAGTAAGAGTCTTCATACATTGCTAAAGCCACTTTTATTGTGTTTATGTTTAAAGTTTTCAGAATGACTTCCTTGGCTGACGTGCCCCTGAATTATGAAAAGATGTTTGCTCATCGATTCACATCGGATGATGAAGAATACCAAGAGTATCTGAAGCGCCCTGCAGATCCCCCTCCTATAGTTGAAGAATGGAGAAACAGATCTGGTGGCAACCAGAGAAACAGAGATCGGTACTGATTTCTTTTTTTTTTTTTTTT